GAACCAAGTCTAAAACTGCTCAAGTATGACACCTGTTGGGTGTGAGTACAAACTGGTATAATCTCTTTGGAGGTAACTGGCAGTACCTACCTATGCACATAGCCTCTGACCAAACGATCCCACTTGTAGGCATTCACCTTACAAATACCCATGCGCAAGTACACAGAGATGCTCACTGCAGTATCGTTTATAATAGTGAATGTCTCAAAATAATTTATCTTTCGGCTAAAAGAACTGTTAACTAAATCATGGTATAGGAATACAATGACACACTGAATGTTAAAAAGAAGCTGAGTCTACATGCTTATACATGAAAAAATATCTACGTCATCTTGTTATATAAAACAGACCACAGTTTTATACAACTGAACCTGTTTTATAAAAGTATATATAGATATGTATTTCTGAATATGTACAGAATAAAGTTTGGAAGGACAGGCATCAAACTCAATGCTCACCTCTAGAGAGTGGGATGAAGGAGGGATCGATTTCACTTTCCTTCATATTCCTGGCTACTTTTAAATTTTTATAATGAGCATAATTACTTTTTACAAATTTTATTTTTAAATGCCTACTTAACACTAATATAAGGTTTTAGAAGTCAGGTAAGTGGTTACCTTCAGGAGTCTAGTGACTGCAAGATGCATAAAGGGCACTTCTGGGTGTGTGAGAATTCATTTAATTGCATGTGCACTTAGGATGTGGGCATGTTGATAACCACCTAGAAACCTAGACTCGAGGAGCATTTCAAAGAACCAGTCTTCAGCAGAACTGACTCTGGGAAACCCTGGCTTGGCACATGTCGGCAGTCAGTAAAGACTCCCAATTTCCTCTTTCTGAAGAAGGCAACATGGCATAATGAAACCAGCATGCATCTTAGAATCAGTCACATCTTCAGTGACTCCCCTTTAGGCTCCCCTTGGCCACCTAAACTCTTTGCTTGGAGATATTAAATAAATATTAGTTCCCTCCCCCTTTCCTTTCACCAAAATAACTGAGGATTCTTGAAGTTATGCTTTTAAAAAATATATTTATTTCTGCACTTTACACGTACAAATTAACAATGAAATTTAGTGTGATGAATTATGGAACAGCTCTTTAGATGGCTGTGAAACCCTTAGATCATATACTGTTTTGGGAATCGCCACTTATACTAAGAGCATAACATAACTTATGCTTGAGTGAACTTATCTAAGACTTAGATCTGCCCAACAAAAAAGGTATTCTGGTATTTGAATTTATTAGAAGTGCTACTTCTGATACATAAAGTGAGATGATACTTAAATTAGTATTTCATCTCCACATTAGCATACAGACAAATGAGAACTGAATCCTGATAGGGAGGAGGAAGAACTAATAGTTTAATGGAGAAAGTTCACCAGTTTAAGAGGACAGTGTTAAGATAGCCTTTACTTTAGAAAGCCAGTAACAATGAGTTTGACTGCAAGACTACTATATATACATAGTCCATCTGTTTACACAGTCCATTTGTTTTGCAAGGCTTTCAGGTGTACAATAACAGTAACCACTAATTACTTTAAAATATGTAAAAATGGGACAGGATATTTTAGGATCCCGGAAAGCAAAGTATGAGTTTAGAGTGACACAGAACCTCAACTCCATGTATGTTTAACATAAATTTTTTAACAATAAACATAAACACTTTAAATTTTTAAAGGAAATCCGAACTACTTTAAAAGTCTATCTTCCCTCATAAGAAAGTACACTAAAACAAATGACAAAAATTCTTAAGTTTGCCATCAAGTCATTTCTGTAGGTTCTTCTAAAATATTCCCTCTCTTGATTAGATGACATTCTTCAAAGGAACTTTTAGGTCCAACTCTCAAAGAGTGATGTACATAGGGCAGAGAGAAACATAAATTATAGGGCAGAGGGAAACATGAACAATTCACCAAGATGCTGAAGAGTTTAAGCTTCTATCAACTTTCTACCAAAAGCAGATTGGCTCCTGTAGCCACTGCTATCATGATTCCTTTGGGCCTTTCAAAGTCTCCTAAAATCTTCCAAGAAAGGAGAGAAGCCAACTTTAAGATAAAGAAATAAATAAGGTAGACTCTAAGGCTGACAAGAGACTCTGAAATTCTCATTTCTACAGACATTTCAGAGAACTAAGCTCCACAACAGCCTTTTACATGTTAACCATTATTTTACCTACATTCTTTTATGTCAAGATAAAACCTAAAGAAAAAAACAAAAAACCCAAAACAAAAAACCCAAAACTTCAGTGGAATTACTATTTTAATTTTCCTTACTATCTCTTTCCACTTTCCAAGTTTTCTGCAAGAAATAGGTATTATTTCTATAATGTTTTTTAAATGTAATTGCTGACTTCTTACCAGAAAGAGTCTGCACATAATTCCACAATGTGTCCTTATTTGTCCAAAAGTAGTCTCCATTGCCAATTGAA